ATTCAAAGAAGAGGTCCCTTTTATCCATTCATAATAACTTAAAAAAAGCGCCAATCTATTATTATTATTAATGTTAAAGCAAAAAAGAAAATTCATTAGCATTATTTCTTCGGAATTAATGCATTGAAATATCCATTAATGCATTAATTTTTTTCATTTACATTCAAATGCTATTCATTAAAAAATTAATGCATTTTTCACAACTTTGACATCTACTAAGAAAATATATGAGCAAAGTAAAAAGTTGGTGTGGTAAACAAACACAGGGTTACAAGGAAAAAAAGTTGAACGAGCTCAAAGTCGGCTGGCGACCAAATTTGTTGAAAGCGATTAGTTGAAAGGCCGTTTGGACGAGGCGATTTTTGCTTTCAACTAAAAGTTGCCTGAAAAATCGCAGCGTGCGAAAGCCCTATTACTGTATATAAAAGCGTGTCAGACGTGGCAATATATTTCGATGCAATAAATTTCGGAAAGGCTGTCAAATTGAGAAATCAGTTGCATGAGCAGTCACCTTGCATGGAAAGTGTCTTTCGAAAGAGTTTTTATTTCCGAAAGTCGAATTGCAGGAAAGAATGTCTGAAATTGCTTTTTGGCTGTTCACACAGCGGATGAGTTTCTGGCAATCTTTCTCTATACTAAAATGCAACCATGGGCGGTGGGGTTGCCGTTTGTTTGCTATTTCTCTTGTAAAAACGAGAACGAAAACGCGAAAAATAGATACTTGACGTAATATTTGCCGTGTGAACAATAATTTAACGATTAAGTATAATAAGCAAAATAATATATTTCAAGCATTTTTGATATTTAATTCAACAATATTTTTTATCATTTTACACAAATTCACGATCAGTGCCACACGGCAACACTCGATTAGTTTGACAACACTTGCATAAGAAATAAAAATTGCTAGTGCATCACGAGCAAGTTGAAATATACTTCCGAAATCGATTTTCGTTCATGCAGTTGCAGTCACACCTTGCAACTTTTGTTATTTATATTAACTACGCAAGATTGTTGTGCGGATTTTCACCATCGGAATATTCCTATTAAATACAGAATTTCGCGAAAGTGAGAACAGGTGATTTAGTGAATCTTTGTCGGTGTAATTGCCCATAGAAAACAACGAAATTTAACAAAAGTTTTTTGTTCATAACTTTTGAATGGTTAATAATATTAGTCCACCCCCTCCGGATTGTTATTAGGGGGGCCGAAACGCGTCGTTTGGTACCCCTCCCGACTTTTCCGCACCTTTTTTAGGGGTTGTTACCCCACCCTAGAGAATTACCCGCGAAAGTGTACACTTAGAACATCACAAATGTATAACAACTAATAAATACGCGTTAAATGAAGTTCATTTATGCCATTCATTCGCAAGAAATTCATCAAAACATAGTGCGAAAAGTGCAAATGTTTTTTCGCAAATAACTCTTTAATTAATTAAAAATGTTAATTTCCGGTCTCGGATTGTTATTATTGGCGTTAAGACGCGTCGATTGATACCACTCTCGAACTTTTTCCGTCCATTTTGACCTACCTTCGCTAAAGTGCACTTTTACCGATTTCCGAAAAGTGACAGAAAGATCGTTCTGGCTGTTCACACATCGAAATAAAATTTCTCTTTCTCAATTTGACAGCGAATTGCTTGCGAAAGACGGAAATATTGCCAGGCTCTTATAGAGTGGTTATTGAAATCCTGTTGCACAGATTTTCGTGCCGATTGTTTCTGACACTATCACGACTGATATCTCCAAAAGCATGGCTTTCAAGGTATATAATTAATATATAATATTCCCCTCCTCTTTTATCAGAAATGTTTATTTGTAGCCTATAGATCCAAAACGCGATGAGTTTCGACGCTATCTCGAAAGATCCGGTGTCATAGAAGCCTTGACGAAAGTATTTGTTCGGATCGTAAAAGAACGCCCAGAAAATCCACTTGAGTATTTGCGCTATAACTTGGGCGACTCTCTACATCAAGCAGATAGTATGGTTTATTTGCAAAGTGAACTTGAAGAAGCGCGTAGTGAAATTCAAAGACTTCGGGGCATGATCGAAAGCGTCAACCCAGATGCACTGAACAAGCAGCAACAACCACGGGATGAGGTTGGGAAAAACGATGAGGAAACAACTTTGGAAAATCGAGAAAAGTCTATAGTTTCAATATCAAAACCACGGGAAAAGTCTCAATCAGTAGAAGCGACTGTGTGCGAAGCCCCGTTGGGAAAAGATAGTATTCAGCCCGAAGATCAGGATACAAATTTAGAAACACCTGGGGATACCATTAATGGTAATAATCCTTTGCCAGCAAATGCAGCACAAGTCGTAGACAATAGCTCTTGAAATAATTAACCCGTCCATAATGTTTAAGCTTATGTACGAAAAAGTACCTAGCTGAGTTCCTTATTCCTAAAGAAAGTACTATATGTATACATTCATTATACCAATCTTAATAAAGTGATATGTGAAGTTATCATACATCATATCGAATCGATGCCGAGCCAAAATCATTTGTTTCATTGTTGTAGTAGCACTTCCTTAGACCGAAATAAGTTAATAGTAAAATGTAATGCCTCCTGATGTCGCCCGAACATCATCTCCGCAACGAGGCACAAATGCTCCCCATAAAGGAGCACAACATAATGCTCTGCAAGCAGTTCCTGATCGGGAGCCACAGAAGTGGCCACCCAAACAGACAGCTACTTGCAGAGGAGCCCTCGCCTAGGCACGTCGGGGAGGCATCTATATGAACTGACGGACGAAGTCAAGAGGTTCATCAAGCAACCTCTGGACCCGTCTGCTTACCGACTGGCCCTGAACGGCATTCACAGGGAGTCAGTCTCGAGTTATGTAGACTCTAGACCTGTGAATGCCGTTCTAGGGATACCGCCTCCGGACATAGACGAGGCGGAGCTTCATCTGCCTCGGGAGACACGAACGACAATAGCCCAACTCCGCTCTGGCTACTGCAGCAGGTTAAACTACTACCTGAGTAGATTGAATGAGGATGTGCCAAATGAGTGTCCGGCATGCTGAGAGACCCCACATAACTCGAAACATCTCTTCGCATGCCCGGAAAGCCCGACAACCCTAACGGCTTTGACCTTGTGAACCAACCCAATAGAAGCTGCACGCTTCCTAGGGCTGCCGTTAGTGGAACTTGACGATAACGACTGAGATACCAACCGATCTGGGCGGAGTTGTTGTAGCCGCGACAACAACACAACAACAATAGTAAAAACAAATATTTTTATATTTATTTTATATACATTATATACATACAGATGCGTGCAACTAATTAGCAACGAAATTCAAAACGATATTGCTTGCAAATTATTGTTATTTATTTATTTTTAATAATTTTCATTTAAAATATATTTCAATCTATTTCAGAAACCACAATAACAAAAGTTGCAAAGCTTGCACAAATTGCAAAAAAATTAATCAATCTTTAAAAAATTGTCATCAAAATTTTTAATTACAATATTTAGAAAATTTTCGGGTAAGCAGTTTTGTAGCCCATCCAATTTTAGTATAATAAAGTGCAAGCTTCAAGTCGCTAAAAATTACCGTTGATTTTTTAGAATTTTTTTTGTGGAGGGTGTTGCGCATTTTCTTCCATATAACACATGATCAAAATTTTTTTTTACATGGAAAAAAATCCGCAACACCCTCGACAAAAAAAGTTCTAAAAAATCAACGGTAATTTTTAGCGACTTGAAACTTGCACTTTATTATACTAAAATTGAATGGGCTACAAAACTGCATAGCCGAAAATTTTCTAAATATTCTAATTAAAAACTTTGAAATTTTATTGACAATTTTTTGAAGTTTGATTAATTTTTTTGCAATTTGTGCAAGCTTTGCAACTTTTGTTATTGTGGTTTCTGATATAGATTGAATTATATTTTAAATGAAAATTGTTAAAAATAAATAAACATAATTTGCAAGCAATATCGGTTTGAATTTCGTTGCTAATTAGTTGCACGCATCTGTGTATATATCTCATGATCCACTGATCGGATCTTAACCAGATTAGTACCTTTCCGATGCAAAAATAATTATCGGAATCGGTTGACGTGGTCCAAGGTTATGCGGTAACATACATAAAAAAAAAAATATAAAAAATATTCCGACGACCTGATAACCTCCTCCTTTTTTGGAAGTCGGTTGAAAAGAAATAAGAGTATCGCCATGAAAATTTTCATTTAAGCTATTGGCCACCCAACCGAAGCTCGGTTACCATCCGTAATGGACTCATTAATATTTGGGCTCAGACTTCAATGAAATTAGTTATGGACTTATATAAAATACGTTTGAAAGAAATCCGAAACTATAGAACTTCACTGTACGGTAATAGGCATGTATCCGACGGATGTCATTCGCGCGAATCTAATCGTTCACTCGCTTTTTAAGACAGTTGGAATCGGATTATATCCGTGCAGATGTCATCCGTCGGATGCCGCAATAGGTATAAATATTTGAATATTAATAGTTCGTAAATTTAAATTCGAATGGAAAATCGAAACATACTGACGCTAAATAGTTATTTATTTAGTTCATTTTAATACGGTGCATATGTATTATGTATCTAGATATTAATACATACGAAGCATGTTTAATAATACAGATATCTATTAATAATAATATACATGTATATGTTATGAAACACATTTTATTTAAAGGTCAATTGTTCATGACAAGTTTTTAAGCAAAAGTTATTAAACTTAATATAAAAGTATGAATTTAGTAAAAGAAATGAGTTATAAATTGATTTTTTATGTTAAATTTACAATTTTTTATGGATCAAGTTTGCCCTTGATGAGGAAGGGATACAATTTAAGTCGAAAAAACATAATTATAAGACATGCATATTTTTGGATACACATACAATTACTTAAATTGATTTAAATTCACCAAATTTGGAATACTATAACATTTTACCATTACATGGTTACCAAGGCTTAGTTTGACCAAAAATGATCCGATCTAAAAGAGGAGAATTGTCAATCGGTTTGTTTTAGATTTATTCATGCAAGTTTCTAATAAGTTACAAACTTGGACATATTACATGTAAGTAAAATTTAAGAAAATGTATTTTTGATAATTGATTGTTTTTAATATCTTATTTTTGTTTTATCTCATCTCGTCTGCTCTATTGTATTCCACTTGGCATCATATCTGTAAATCTGGTAGTTTTCTTTTGTATTCATTAGACTTTTTATTTCAAATATGTATGTTAACAAATAATCCGTCTCATGCTTGCTGCTCTTAATTTTTTTTAAGACATAATTAAGAGTGTGTATATAGTTGTTGATGTTTTTATTAGTGCACTGGCAGCAGCGATTGTTTTTTTTTGTTTCGCTTATTTTTTACGTTTATCTGCCGGTTTCAATATCTGAAAAGAGCACATCAACGTGTCATCCACAGACATCATAGCGCCGGCATTGTCAAATTCACCGCAATAGTTTGGTGCAGAAAACAGCGTCACTAATTGTCGTTTAGCAAAGAACTCGTATCCATCTTCAACCACCTGATGTGCACGGCAAATCAAATCGAAGTCATGCTTTTGCAGGAATTTACCAACCACTTCAGCGCCGAATGTGAAGCTTACCCCACGATCATTTTCTCCCCAGCCCATAGTGTCTTTGTCGGGGTCTGACCAAAGCAAATCGCAAAGCAACCCCTGATCGGGAACATCGGTAGGTCTCATAATGCGGCGAATTTGCTCCATTGATGACAAATCGGGACTGAGACCACCATGGCAGCAAAAGATTTTCTCGTCAACGATAGCAGCCACTGGCAAACAGTTGAAGCAGTCCGTGAAGGTTTTCCATAACTTTATAGTGTAGCGGCGCTTACATTCGTCGTAAAATCCGTAGATGCGGTTGATGCTTGCGCATTCATGATTACCACGCAACAGGAAGAAATTTTCGGAGTATTTAATCTTATAGGCTAAAAGCAAGCAAATAGTTTCCAAAGACTGCTTGCCACGATCAACGTAGTCTCCTAAAAACAAATAGTTTGACTCTGGAGGAAAGCCGCCATATTCAAAGAGACGCAATAAATCGTAATACTGGCCGTGTATGTCACCGCAAATCTTTAATGGTGCCTCCAATTCAAGTAAAATGGGTTGCGATAGAAATATCTCGCGCGACTTCAGACATAGACCACGAATTTCACTCTCTGATAATTGTACATTCTTTCCAGGCCTTGCCCCACGCACCTCCAACAAACGCGAAATGATGCTATCAATGTTCATTACGTCAGCCATATTGTTTAGCTATTTGCGTTATTAAACGTGTGTACTTGTAATTTTTATGTTTCCTCTTGGCAAATCGAGTGTGTTTCCTGTTTAAATAATTAATAAATGTTATTAGTAAATTTTTCCTCAGCTACCAGAAGATCGAAAAGCGAACACACAAAGACTGACATTCGGGCCGAGTTAACCCAGCCAACGAACGCTACCTACATGCAATCGGTTCGAGAATATGAAATATGGCCGCACAATCCGTTTTGAATCCGTTTGTGCGGAAAAACATGTTGAAAAGAATGATGCTGAAAGAGACCTGACAAGGACGTCTTAGTTAATTTTAGAAAAAGAGGCACAAAATCGCAGAATTATGGAAAAGAGGTGTGAGTTTGGATATTTTAGTAAATAATATCAAATTCACGCCAAACGACCCTAACGGTGGTTGCTGAAAATTGTCTTGTCTTTATAATTATCTGGACGCCTACTTTACTTAGGGCCGTTTTCACCATGTCTAGTTAATTCTAATAGCCCAGTTATGCATACATAGCTTTGCATGAGAGTTGTCACATAAGAATCTGTTAAATGGACTTTGCGTGTAAGCAGTTACCCAACGCATAGCACTTAACATGTAGAATTCTGTTGGGTTTTGATTTTTACGTAAAAATGGTATAGCAGTGCAAGTTTGCATAACTGGGCTATAACTCCCAGTTAAACCTCTTTATGGACGTTATCGACAGCCATCATATAACATGTGATCGATAAAGCAGTTGATGGGCTTAACTGAACGATGTACATCCAGTTAGCGTTAACTAGACATGGTGCAAACGGCCCTTAGGGTCTACACCTTTCGTGACAATAATGTAAAAGTGATGTATTTGTTGCAAACAAGGCGAATTCATATAACAACAAACACATCATTTGGACATTATTGTCATGACAGTATTGTCCGGTGTAAACCCTAAGGGCCGTTTGCACCATGTCTAGTTAACGCTAACTGGAGGTACATCCTTCAGTTAAGCACGTTAACTGCTTTATTGATCACATGTTATATGATGGGTGTCGATAACGTCGATAAAGATGTTTCACTGGGAGTTAGAATTAACTAGACATGATGCAAACGGCCCTAAGTAACACAACATTTTGACAACTAATACATATTGCTGAGCGCCAATCAGTAAAGTTTTTTCCGTGGTGAGACGAGGTAAACAAATTTACTATGGTGTACAAATAAATTGAATTTTGCTGTGCCAAGCGCAAAGTAAAATTTTGACAGTTAAAAAAAACTAAACGAACACTCGTGCCAAAACTCTATTTTTGCGTGTTGCTGAAATTGTTCATATTTATATACATAAGGAGCGTTCCTTATCTCCCAGAAATAGTTAGAAAAAGTCCGAAGTAGTAAGATTTAGTCCAAAAAGCGTTCCTTAACTCGGAAATGACAGCAAAAATGAGAGAGCAACACTCAGTGAGAGTGACTCTCATAAGTCCGAAGTAGTCAGATTTAGTCAGGAGAATTTTTTCTGACAAAATCCTGAAAAGTGTCAAACTCAACTGAATTTAAATTAACGGAAATTAAAGAATACGCAAAAAGTGATAATAATCTCAAAAGTAAAAAAAGTGAATTGAAATTGGAAGGAGGCAAAAGATTATTGATATAGTAAGTGTTTATTGTGCTTGTGTGAAGGTGTTTTGTAGATACATTTCCATTCTTATTTGACGTTAGTTTTGTTGTTGCCATTCTTTGGACTAAAAATTTGGTGTTTTGCGTTCCTTTACTTTTCCTGTTATTCTCTTTTAGTGAGCGCATTTTGCTTACGCTCTGGCATTTTGACACTTTTCAGATTTTAGTCCAAAAAGATAAGGAATGAACCTATATATATTGCAACTTACAAGTACCGTACGCTTTTTTTTAGGTTCCATTTTGATTTATTACAGGCTAACCTAATATTCGCGGCTTGCGTTTTGGTACGCATGCCGTCGAATTTGTTTTTTTGCGTCACCCGAAATTGACTTGCATGCGTTTGCATTTGATTTCATTGAGCGAAACGTCAAATCAAAATGTCACGCAGAACAAAAATTGGAAATTGAGTTAGCTTCATACGCACGCCGTTCAATTTCGGTTGATCTCATACAAGTTGCATGAGCATGAGAAATTTTTGACAATAAATTGGCGGCGTGCGTGAATATTAGGTTAGCCTGTTACTCTTTACCGCCTAACAATACTGTGTGTATATGCTGTCAAAACTGCACCTGGCCCCATGAGCTAGGCAAATTTCTGACGTTCGTATTCACCACGAGAAATGTCAAATTTTTAGTTTCATCCGTCAAAATTTCCTATTTTCTATCAATTGGCACAGGCTCTTAATTGTCTTGTCTCAAATTGTCTTACGTTAACGCAGCGTTATACACAAGCACTTATCGGGACGTTACACATTCAATTTTCCCCTTTCAATTTTAAATACACTGACACTTTTTCCCTAACACCCTCTTATTTATTACTTGAATGAGCAACTTGCTTTAAATTTTTCTCTTTAACTTGAGTTTCAATTTTGCTTTAAATTTTGAGAAAATAAAAGAATACTAAGGGCCGGTTGCTCAAAGCCTGATTGACACTAATCACCGATTAACATCGTTATCGACGTTTTCGGCTCCATGCAAATAACATGGTGTCGGTAACGTCGATTACGATGTTTAACCGGGGATTAGTGTCAACCAGGCTTTGAGCAACCGGCCCTAAGCTTCTGCATGCTTAAATTTGAATCAACAATGGAATTAAAAACGGAAAATGGTCTTCAGAAGCTAGTTAGTTACATTGTTTACTCGAAGACGACATGTTGATAATGAAATTGCTTCTCAAATTGAGTGCAGCATACGTAATTATATGGTTATATACAACGACTTCTTTATCGATCACATGTTATATGCGAGATGTCGAAAACGTCGATAATGATGTTTAACCGGCAAGTAGTGATAACAAAGCATTGAACAACCGTCCCTTAGGGCCGTTTTCACCAACTCTGGCTAACTCTAATCGCCAGTTAAACATCGTTGCCGACGTTACTGACTCCAAGCATATTACATTGTGTTGGCAACGTCGGCAACGATGTTTAACTGGCGATTAGTGTTAACCAGGAGTTGATGAAAACGGCCCTCAGGGCCGGTTGATCAAAGCCCGGTTTACACTAATCATCGGTTTAACATCGTTATCGACGTCACCGACACCGTGTTATATGCATGGGGTCGAAAACGTCGATAAGGATGTTAACCGATGAGTAGTGTCAACCAGGCTTTCCCTGCAAAAATCGTTGGACCATGTAGTCTATTTGTGGTATATTGGAGTACTTACAAAAGTGTTCCTCTGTCATGCTGTAGCGGACCAACTCGTGTCTCTGTGCCCGCTTATTGTTTGTTACCCGATCACTGCTCGTGTTTTAACTAAATGTGATTGAAGTTTAGCATTTGAAAGCACATTTGCTCTTATGTAGATAATTATTTTGGCGACGACCGGGCTACGCGACGGCTGTGGTTGTGGCCAGATTAGATCTATTTCTATTTTTCCGGCGACAGATAAGGTTCTTCCTCTTCTTTTATGTCAAACTCATACAAATTCATGATGTCGCTGCCGCGTTCAAAAAAATCATGTCGCCATCGACAAAGCGTTTAGATAATGAAGATAACAAACTGGAAGCTGTGGCCCGTAGCTCGTCGTTTTCAATGTGTTCAGAACTTTAGACTTGACTTGACTTACCTCAACCTATAGCCCAGTTATGCATATTTGCACTGCTATACCATTTTTACGTAAAAAACAAAACCCCACAGAATTGTTAAGTGCTATGCGTTGGGTAACCTCTTACACGCAAAGCCCATTTAACAGATTCTTATGTGACAACTCTCAAGCAAAGCTAAAGGCTCTGTTATGCATACTTGGCATTGCTTGAGAGTTGTCACATGAGGAATCTGTTAAATGAGCTTCGCGTGTAAGCGGTTACCCAACGCACAGCATTACATAGGTAAAAGTCTGTTGGTTTTTGATTTCTACGTAAAAATGGTATAGCAGTGCATGCAATGCCAAGTATGCATAACAGAGCCTTAAGGGCCAGTTGTTTAGGCTGTGTGCGAGTTGACCTAAATTATAGTACCTAAACTAATATTCCACTGGAAATTTCCAGCACTGCTACAATTTAGGAAAACAGCTGCTAAAACCCTGCGAGTTCGTTTGACAACCTAAATTGTTTGTTTTGGAATTTGAATTTGTTTGCTTTTAATAAATATATCCATAAAATGAATAATTTTCTGGTAGCTTTGGGACTATTTAACAATATAATAAATTTGCAACAGAAAAGGAGAATGCTCCATCCATCGAATTACACATATACTTATCTGAATGCTAAAATCAAATAAATTTTTACTTACGTCTTTCTGAATATTTTCTTTTTTGTGTCATAGCAATGATAAAAATTATTTAAAACATCAAAAAATCGTTGTTCACTTAATCGCTCGCTCAAATATATTTGACTGTTCAATTTAGGTTGCAAAGTATGCTCGGAGAAAATCTAAATTGTTCCTATTCACTGCATTACCGACACTTTCTAGTGATTTAGGATTTTTCTCTATTTACGTAGCAATTTAGGGTGATTAGCACAAATCGGAGGTAGAAGCTCCGGTTAAGCACAACTACTGCTTTATCGATCACATGTTACATGCATGATGTCGAAATCGTCAATAGTGTAGTGGTAGTGATAACCAGACATTGAACAACCGGGCCTTAGACTTGACTTGACTTACCTCAACCTATAGCCCAGTTATGCATACTTGCACTGCTATACCATTTTTACGTAAGAACCAAAACCCAACAGAATTGTTAAGTGCTATGCGTTGGGTAACCTCTTACACGCAAAGCCCATTTAACAGATTCTTATGTGACAACTCTCAAGCAAAGCTAAAGGCCGGTTGTTTAGGCTGTGTGCGAGTTGACCTAAATTTTAGTACCTAAACTAATATTCCACTGGAAATTTCCAGCACTACTACAATTTAGGAAAACAGCTGCTAAAACCGTGCGAGTTCGTTTGACAACCTAAATTGTTTGTTTTGGAATTTGAATTTGTTTGCTTTTAATAAATATATCTATAGAATGAATAATTTTGTGGTAGCTTTGGAACTATTTAACAATATAATAAATTTGCAACAGAAACAGAACAGTTTCCCCGATCGCAACG